GCGCTCATGTTACTTGTGAGCATCAATTGTCTGTTTAATATTTAATAAGCAACAAGGATGAAACGACGCTTAAAGCGTACTTGTGAGCGCCAAAGCGAACACAGTCAAAAGGTTTGTTTGCATCGCATACTTCAACATGTTTCAGCATTCCTACCATAGCCCCTACTCTAACGAGCGCGTGAGTGAGTAGGAGCTATGATTGGAGGAAATAGAAGCATGTTGGAGCATGCGTCTAAAAAATAAAATGTATCGAAGACACGCGGTCAGTGTTTTCGAATGTAGCCTAGACCGATCTGACTGGATTAGAATCTTGCGATTCTATTGGCTGCGACGCTGGCACTGAGAGCACCGCAGCCAATACGGCAAAATTCTAATTCAGTTAACAATCTAGCAGGAAAACAAGCATCGTGGCAGGCTTAACTTCCGGTCAGAGACCGGATTAACTTCCTGGCAGTCGGTCTGCAAAGTTGGTAGTCTGATGCGGGCTTTAAGAAGTCTATAACTTTACCACGTGTATGTCGGTTATGTATAATGTATAAGATTATATATTATATATAAGATTAATTGTTTTCGATGAGTGATATATTTTCGAGTGCAATCACCTCCCCCGATGGATTACTTCAACGGACCGTTACGTTACGCTCGGAGACGAAAATATTATGAGTAAGAATATTTTAAGAATAAAAAAGGAGAGAGAAAGAGAGTGCCTATATTTCAGGAAATTTCCAATCTCAAGTAAAATACAGATATCGTAAGAACATTATTATGACTAGAATAATTCTAATCACACATGACTTTATTTGTTCACTTACTAAGTTTATAAGTTCACTTTTAAAGAGACGCTCGAGTAATTTACATACCGGATGTATTTCGTACTTTTCTATTTTTTTGTTGTTGTTTTTTTTTATGTATAATAAAAAATATTCTCCAGAATAAAAGAAAAGGGACGAATAATTGTAGGAAAACGCAAGCCTATATGAACAAAATATAAATTACAGTTTTATGTTATCACATGGATTATTTTTTCGCATATATAAGGA